ACTAATATAAAAATGTGACGAATAGTTATTTGTTTAAGTATTGTTTGATTATGATTTGTATTCTTCTGATGAATTATATCTATATATTTTATATTAAGTAATTATGTTATATTATTAATTTCTTTTAAGGTTTAATTATTAGAATCTCGTAATAAATATTTGTATAATAATTCATGTATAATATATAATTATAATATTTTTTTTGATTTAATAATGCAAGTATGAATTGTTATACAATTATATATTCGTTTTAGGTATACATTTTTACTTAGTGATTAAATTGTAGTTACTTAATTTATTCAAAAAAAAAAAATTTGTTGATGTTAAGGTTTGAATGATATATTATAATTTATTAAATGATTAAATTTTTCGTTTTACTGTAAAAGGGGAAATTTTAGTTTGTTTTCTTATTATAATAACTAATAATACTTAATGTATACTGTATATTGTATTATATGTAAAAATAACATATATATATTTTTTATATTGGATTTTAGGTTAAGTTATTAAATAAATTAATTTTGTTGTACCTAAAAAAAATTGTATCTTAGTTTTCTTTTTTTTTTTTTTTAAATAAATAATAATAGGTATTTACTATAAAAATTCAATTGTATAAATTATTATATAATAAATATATAATATTATTATATAATTATTATAATATATTATAAATAAGATGTTACCTACTTTAATTTAATAGAATAATTTTATGAATGTACCTATAATATATATTTTTTTTTTTTTTTTAGTTTTAGTTTTTAGTTTTAATGTTTGTTACCTATTATGTTTAATTATTAAATAAGTAAATTTTTTATAAGCTTATAAGCCTTTTAATTTTAATTTTAGTTATTATTGTTTTTCTAAGTTTTATTTTTAATATTTTTTTTGTATTGATAATTTTTTTAACATAAAATATTAATTTTTAAATTTACTAATAAAATATTAAAATCTTATATATCTAATATAATTTTATAAAATGTATTTGATCAATTCTCAGTTTATTTATCTGAATAAACTGAACTTTTGTTGGGCGCCACTTTGTAATGTCTCAAAAATTATGATATAAAATAAAATACGACGCCTGTCGATAAATATATTAAAATCGTAAGACTAAGCAATTACCTTCCTCCAGGTGCTCGGAGGGCTCTCGAGATCGTGTTTTCGAGAATTAGATCAATTACACTATACAACACAATTGTATATAAAACATGCACAGATAATATAATAAATGCAATTAATATAAAATATTATATTAATTGCCTTACCTGATCCGCAGTCGATTGTGAATTATTTTGTAAGGGTTTTTTTTTTGGAGGTTGTTACTCTGTGAATGGTGCTCATGCACTGATTTAAGGGACGACGCGACGATGCTGACCAGAGAGTGGTAGGCGGCTTTATCAAAAAGGTTATCGTGAGCTTGGGAACTAGATTATTCTTTGGCGGCAGATACCCTTTTTTTTCCTTTCCTTTTCTCTGGCGGCATCGTATAATAAAGTCACACAACCTGCGTTTTACCGTTATGAGTGGGTGCCGATATCTTAGTTGTCGTTAATAATGGTTTTATTTGATGTGACCGATTTCTACAAACGACAGTCTGGCCGTTATTTATTAAGTATTCTGTAAGATTTTAGTTTATTATAATGGTGTGTGAGCATATCAATACAATATTTAAACTAATATTATTAAATTAAATTAAATTATTTGATAAATGATAAAAAAAAAGCGGGAAATTTGAAATGGGCCAATGAGAACGTGGTATACATAAGGCGCTCTGTGTCGTCCTGGGTTTCCTTCCGGTAGCTATTTGACGCCGAAACCGGGCCAGTCTAGTACACATACCCAATCAGCGGGATACGGGTCGCAAACACAACAGCCGACGCAAATACGATTTGATGAATTTGCTGCTCCGCAGTCAGAATCACAGCCGCAACCTGTGTACGGCTGAGTAAATGCTGACTGGTACCACGAATGGTAGTGTGCGTACATAGATAGAGTTCACCATCTAGTCTACCAATTTCACTAGACTGCTTAAAGGAATAATTTTTATCAGCAATAAAAAAAAAAAATGTTACATATTTATAGCATTTAATGAAATTAAGTAGTTTGTGATGTTCCACAATTTTTAATCAACGCATTACAGTAAGAACATCGGCTTTTAACATGACATAAATTTTATTATACTACTTATTACTACATATCGATTAGACAATTTCATTGTAAGTACATTTTACTTTAGTATTTCATTCTATTATAATTATAATATTATATAACAACTTTTTATTTTGCTTGTAAATAGTACGCTAAATCGTCTGTTTAAAGATATACATTATACATAGTATTATATAATAATATATATTTAAGTATGTATGATTATTTTGTATATTTTTCACTAAAAAAAAAAAAATACAAATCGCGGGACTTAAGGTATTTTTAAACTGCCGTATAACAAAATGTTTTGTCGTGTGCTGATATGTTTTATGTTTAGGTACTTAAAATTGTAATGTAAATTCTCGATTTGAGGAATCGGTCGCTTTCAACTATGAACTGGTTCATCTAATTTGGCTTAATTCAACATTTCAAAGTCAAACAACAGTAAAATTATTTAATTATATAATGTTGTGATGAACATTTAAACCGACCGAATATCACCAAGTAAAATATTATTAATTATAAAAGATGTAATAATTCTAAAATGTAATTTTTTTTTTTTACTATTTTCCTAAAGGTCAGTCATGTATTGAATACATATAATGATATGTAATTGTCAATCTTAACAGTAAGATAAAATGATATGTATCATTGTACAAGTCCTTTAACAAATTCCCGATAATAACAATAATAGTGGAATTTTAAGTTTTATGCTTAAAAATAGACATAAAAGCACATAAAATCTCTGATTAAATTTAAACGTTTTTAAAAAAGCTCAACAATCACATTAACAACTTTAATCAATTAATTAATTAACATATTCGAGTTTCTAAAATACTAGTACTAAAAAACCATTAATATTATAGTGTAATATAAATTTATCTTGTTAAATTTAAATGCCAATTAATTTATTTCCAACTATAGACCATTATAAATTGGCGTTTTTATTTAATAATTCTATATATTGTGTTTATTCTATTCTTTATAATTATTTTAATTATTATCATTTATTATTAGGTATTATTTTAATTATTTTTTTTGGAAGAATCAACACTGAAAGTATATAATATAACCTTATAGATCTCAAACGTGTGACAGGTACAGTTTTTTTTCTAATACTGATAAAATATTAATTTCTAATTCTATATTTTTAAATAACAGTCAAACCACACGGAACGTGAGAAACTCAAGTGTTGTAGTGTCCTACAATTTCACTAAGAACAAAACCACGTAGGGATAAATAGCAGTTTGGGACAATAGGATTGGACTCGGTTATAATATAATAGTATGGGTTACACCACGTTTGCGTACATAACAAATTTTTAACATGATTGGGTACATGAACACGATACATATTTGGGTACACAATACACATTAATGTAATAAGTTCACACTATGTCGGTTGGTTGGTGTAGGACGATATAAGGTACACTACTTAACTGTATACAAATCAATATAATATTTAATTTACAAAAAAAATGTAATAAATAACAGAATCAAACTAAAATTTTAGTTTTAAATCTATGACGAGTGAATAAATATCGTAAAATATTTGTGGGAAGATACAAAGACAAAATGTTCATGGTGTCTCCTAATGATATTGGTACCAACTATAAACGAAAATTATTGACCACCCCATATTAAAACTAAATAGTTTGAAATAAAAATATACAATACGCGATAATTTATCAAATAAACAGTTAAATCTGTAATATGTCATCAGTCCTGTAATGTACCCTAAAGTATTTTTCCAAGGGGAATTGTGTACCCAAGCGTTGTATACATCGGTAAAATTATACGATTGAGCACGCTCTTAGTTTTCAGCTGCTTTTTATGCACTATTATTGAGCACGGTAAATTGTATAAAATTTCAAAACTCTTTTTTTTCATCACGATGATGGAAACGTAAATTGTAAGTGACTGGAGACTGTAAAAACACATTCTTAAATAATAATGTGAATATTTATATTGTGTTTATTGATATCTAATGTTGTACTGATTAACTTTGGAAATCATAAATATAATATAACATGTAATATTATTAGTATTAGCAAGCTACAGATTTATTATGAAATAGGTAATAACTCAAGCAAAAAATTATCAATTATAAATTTTTTGATTTAATAATGAAATTTTTTACCTAAATTACCTATTTATAAAATATGTGTTTATTATTATTCTATGATTATTGAATTTAAAGTATATATAATTACCTATTTAATATAAAATACCTAAACAGTTTTATTTCACGTTTCTGTGGATTTGGAGCTGATGCAGCTTAAACTATTTTTTGTATTATGAGAGATCGTTATAAATTCGTACAACAGTCTTGGTTCTTTTATACTTGATATGTATTAAAGTTTTTTTTTTTATCTTAAATATTGCAACTTTGTAAACGATATTGTGCTCAACCTAGTATTGTATTTTGTATTATTAGAGACCGTTATAATATCATACAACGGTCTTGGTTCATACTTCTTATATAATTGATATGTATTAAAGTTTTTTTGAACGTAAATATTGCAGCTTTGTAAACGACATTGTGCTCAACTTTGTGTTGTTCAACTAGCGTCGAAAGCTAATAATTATTTGACGTATACTCAGTGCCGTACTCGAAATGATAGGTATCTACACATAAAAAGTACGAATGCGCTCAATCGTACGATATCCATATCGTTTCTAAAAATGTTTTCATACCCAAACGTGTTGAGGTCGGCCCAAAGTTTTGAATAAATAGGTAATTTTTTTGTATTAGACTTAAGGGGTTTCGGTTACAATATGTTATGAATAGAGGGCTACTACGGTAATTCTCGTGATCCTATCAGAACTGGGCCGCGCGAGATACGGCCTACTCAAAACCCGGTGGTCGTCTGTTCGTATCCCTGCTTGTACACCTTTCCCACGACGCTGGCTTTCCTCTGAACCGCGGTAGTGGTAGTCGCTTCGTCGTCGTTGATGTCCAGTGCTGGATTGATTCTGCCGTTCCTCTCGTCTTTGCCGACCAGACCGGTGGTCACGGCAGCGCCGTACTGCGGCCCCATCGGACCTGCAAAGCAACCGGCGCATAAATAAAATAAGAATCCTAGACAATAAAAACGATTTTTGTTTCCCCCAATCTTACCTGACGTGAGCGTGGTCATCTGTTCACCCTCGTGCGGCTCTCCAACTCGCACCGCGTCCTCCGGTATATTCACCACGCAATGGAACCAGTCGTAGTGCGGTGCCAGCTTACCATTGATAAACAGCCACCTGCGAACGCGGAATTCGAATGTGATTATGATGTGGATGCATTGGATGCAATCACCAGAGTAACACACCGATACGGTTTAAAGTACGGAGAATTCATATACAACATTTTGGATGTTTTTTCATAATTTAGATGAGGAATTAAATGTAAATTTAAAGAGTTTTCCCCTATATCCGTGTAATTGGTCAATATATTTTACATTTTTATTGATTACTGGAAAATATACATATCCGGTTTTACCGTGGTAAAAATGGGTTTTCAAACTTTTTCTAAATGATTTTTAATACATAAAAGTATGTATATAATATATTATTCAATTTTTAAAAATGTTTTGAATGGGGATCTTTAATTGTTCTCGCTAAAACCCTATATCCCCCCCTGGGTCCACGACTGTCCCCCTCATAAATTATATAGGTATAGCACTGAGCATGCATATTATTGGGAGTATCTATACGTGCGATACGATAACAATAATAATATAGGTACAACTTTGCACATAGTATAGTAATACTCACTTTGTAAACCAAGAGACGAATACCAGCGTAAACAACGAACAGAGCATAGCTGTGGTCCGGAACGGGAACAGTTGTTTTTCACCGTCCCATCCAGGGAAGTGTATCATTGGTTTCAGGCCCAACAAAGGTTCACCGCCAGCCATTCGTATGTAAAATGCGACTATGTACGCGGCTAGTGACCCGTATGTATTGCAATAGTGTTTGAAATGAACTACCATAGTTAACTGTGGGAATAGGATAACGTAAACTAGGTCAGAACACATGGACCACAGGCCGTAAATGGACGGGATAGTAATTGCCATAGTCGTAGCGGAAAAGGCGACGACTACGATGGATAATCGCATGACCCAGACAATCTCCATTTCTGATGCCTAAAACGGTTAAAAAACGTTAGTTTAATATAAACATACATATCGCGTATTTTAACATTTTATATAAGTATGTATGTAACCTATCCACACGAAGTTTAAGCCGAACTCAAAACGTATAATACGTAAATTGTAATAGGTACCTGGTACCTAGTATTCATATCGACATATTTTATATTTAAACCTATACTCATAATATTAGTACGCAAGTGACATTCAAAATTTGGTGCAAAAATATATGTATTGGTACCTACTAGCCACGTATTCAGTTCACAGTTCTGACGGTATTCATTATACTATTATTGAGTATTATAATATTATTGTTACACAGAAATTCCAGGCAGCAATATACGATTTAATATATTGTGCAATATGTAAATCTATGCTTTTAAAACGTAAATGTTTATACTAAAAATAAGTGTATGCAAAACTCACGCTTTGTCGTAATAACATTCGATAGATGTTTCTCGCAAACATAGAACTGGCTGAAAGAACGCTGGAATCGGCCGAAGACATTATAGCTGCAGAAATCGCGCCCAATGCGAAGAACGCCACCCAATCTGGGGTGAGGTACTGCATAACCATTGGTAACACCATGCTAGTTTCCTTCTGAGTCATTGGCATCGGTCCTTCGTATTTTGTCTGATTCCAATCTGTTATGTGAATCAAAATGTATTTTACGTCTTACTACTTTATATATAACGACTAGCTCACAATTGGAATCGAAAAAGGAAACGATTAAATAATGTAAAAAGTAATAGGTATTCTCTTTTATATGATATCTCATGTCGGTACGACGATAATAAATAAGAGAATATATCTCACTCGTTATCTAAGATTAGGTGTTCTAATGCTACAATGTGTACAAATTAAATTCTAGGTACTGATAGATCGTCTTTTCGACTTTGCGAATATATTATACAAAAAAGGCACATTGGTGCGAAATAGAAGGAACAGATAAAATTATCTTTTTGGACTAATTGTGTTTTTAGTCATATGGGTACTCGGACTTTTCAAACCATTGAACAACAAGACTTGATGAAATTTGAACTGTTCTAGTTAGTGTAAAACTGAAGATTAATCCAACCCTAGTTTTTAATTAAGTAGGATTTTGCACTACACTTTGATTATCTTTCAAGTAGATATTTTATTCTTCATTAGTTCGGGTGAGAAGAAATGGTTTAGCGATTTAAATCTATGCAGTCATATCGATCGTCAGCATAAATATTTATCGACACTACATTTTACTGCACAGTCAACTACTCTGATATTTAAATGTTTACTGAATTATATATACACATAATATACAAATATTATACACACCTGTAGCCCTTGCTACCATTCCAATAATAACCGGTGGTATTGCCATGATGAAGCATCCAAAGGCTGCGACAAATGAAAGTATCTGAGCTTGTGAAGCTGATTTACTCGATAACACCCTCTGGAAATAGACCTGCCATGGAATTCCACCAAACACCAACAGCAACGCGTAATCTATGTAGCTTAAGAAATCCTTTCCCTGGATCTCGCCGATCAAATCCAAGCCAGGCTGGTTAAAGTCTACTTTCTTGTTATACCACGCAAACGGCACGCTCAACCACTATTACAGTAATAATAATAGATTCAAGTTAAGTATATTATTATTATATACGTGCAATACTTCGTATATTATATTTATTATTTATTTTATAAATGTACAGGCTGAAGGCCATGAAACAAGAATAATAGTAGATAATATATACCTATAAAGTAAACAATAAAGGTAACTTAATTGCTAATAATTTAAAATTTTAAAACTCAAAAAGTAAAATGGGGGTCTTAATTTTTATGTTAAAGGAGACTCGGGAGAGCGTAATAAATATTTTATAGAGTATAGGGAATATAGAAAGGAAAATTAGTTAGTATTGTCATGAGGAGGGCAGTCAATTTTAAAGATATATAAAACAAAGTACTATAAATTGAACTCTATCCATAATTTGAGTCACTAGTGGTCATTAGATGGATCCCAAACAGAATCATATTCGATTAATGAGCGAACCAATGAACAAAAAATAGTTTTTTATGAAGATCGTATTTTAATTTCAGAGCACTTTCGTTGAATAAAACCAAGAACTTTGAGCGCTATTGTTATATTGAATAATATATTCCAAATTTTTGTGGTTTTATATTTAATTCAAATATTGATATATCGCGATGATGTGTCTTACCAGTCCTATGAATATAGCGAACAGTTGAATGACATCCGTATAAGCGACGCTGGCTAGTCCTCCGAAAATGGTATAGAAAACTGCAATGCAACAGCTCAAAATAACGCTGGTAGCCTGGTCCAATTCGATGATCACACTCAACGTAGCCCCTGTATATAATTATATTGTATATTATACTATATTTGTAAATAGATTGATGAGACGATATCGGTAAGACATACATACACCTACAATCCTACTCCTACATACAAAACCCATACGAACGTCCGATGTATGGTTTTAAATTGTTAATAATATTATTATACGTACCCAAAGCGGACAATATCCCGGCAGACCAAAACACTTCGCCGCACAGAGCTGGTAAAAACAGCAGTCCTCCCATACGTTCGCCAAAACAATCTTGAAGCGGATCCAACATGGTAACATATCCTTGTCTGCGCATCGGATCGGCGAAAAATATTCCACCTGATTGTTTTGTTTACAATATTTTATCATCAGTCTAATAATCACCAAACTATATTGTACACCATATTGGCATTCGAATAGCGTGTTTCACCAGACTTTTATAATTTTTAGAATAAAACGGGAACCTACTGAAATTGTTTGTTTTTTATTCGAATCAAACACCTGCATAATATAGCAACTATACATAATATAATACCATTGATTGTGAATACTAGCATTATTATACTATTATTGAAATACTATAGTATTCATAATCAATGATAATACCTACACAACAATTAATTTCTCCGATTATTCTAAAAACTTTGAAATCCTATACGATAAACTCGCTTTAGATTATTTTATCGAATTATTTTTTAAGAAAATGTATTATCAGATGAAACCGTTTTATAGTATGTGCCACAAAAATAAAATGACCATAACTTCGAATGAACAGCCTAAAAACGGTAATTTATTTTTTAAACCCATGTAGGTTATAAGTTATAAGTTATAACATTGATTATACATACTATGGAATCAATCAAATCAAAAACAAACAATATGATACTATAAGCAGGGCCAGCTTGAAGGCGATTCGAGGTGTGCAATGTCACAGCCCACAGGGCCTCACTAATTGATATGCCCTGCGACCTGAATCAGGGCCGGATTGGTATGTATCGGCCCATCGAGATTTTCACTTCTATAAGCGGCCCATTTGCATATTGAGTGGCCCAAAATTACTTCTATAATTATTACGAGCTTATAGGTGGCCAATCGTATTTTAAACATACATTTATTTTCACTCACACTCACACGACCGGCCCAAACTTTAAGCGGCCCACCGAGATTTTGTCGGTAGCTCGCCTAAGTTGCCTAACCAATCCGGCCCTGGAACTGATACAAAAATAAATTATCTTGTCCATGTACATATTTAACTAACGATTCAGATTCGTCGATAAACTTATAATCGGAGTGTCTCTGAGCCCCTAAAGTAACACCTACGGGCTAACACCCACTAAACAGGCTCCGGTATTCACCATCCAGCCCTGACTTATAAGATTCATAATATAGGTATAGTTTCGTAGATAACGCGTATATATTTAATAAATAAGATTATTATTCGAAAAGCACATCATTAAAATACTGCACTTAAAGTGTATCACTTACCGAAGACCAAACTTAGAGCATATCCGAACGGAGCTTGACACCATAGCAGGCCTGACGTGTAAATCGCTTCGGCCGTCCCATTAATATACCCACCGCCGACCCAGGTTGCTGAAACGTAGGAATTATGCAAAGAGCACACGTTAAATCGTCGTATTGCTCACAGGTATAAATAATAAATATACACTGTACATGTGTCATTTTTTTTTCGCTGATAGGGAATCTCATAATTTATGGATCAAATTATATATACCTATACATCGTTATAAAACATTTTTAAAGTGGTTAACATTTTTGAACCATGGAATGGCGTAGAATAGCTTATTAATATGTGCGACGCGTCCTTAAAAGTTGAAAAAGAAAAAGTTAAATAGTATAATACCCAGGCATGATGAAATTGCGATGAAAAAAAACGTCCCGTACAGTAAATTTTATATTGTTCAGATACAGGGATTATGCATAGCAAGCAAACACCTTACCCGTCATCGTGAATATGCCGACGAAAAGCCCAATATTTCTGCCCGCCAGCATTACTTCTTCCTCCGAGTTGCCGGTGTGTTTCTTCTTGCCGGCCCATAACCCGACCGACAGGATTAGGCAATAGAAGAAAACTATAGATATGACGCCCACGACGTTCATCGTCTGCAATGGTCAGAAATGATGCAACGGTATAACAAATATAATATCATATGCGTTTGTCTGTACGTGATTTAATCCATCGTACAAGAAGCGGTTGTTCAGTTTAACACTCACGGACGGTTTGTTGGACGAGTGGTTTTATTATGTAATTAAATTTTCCGTCAATCGACTGTTTTCGTTTTCGTGTTCAAGTATTACACTCTCTGGATACACTAACACATTTCCGGTAACAATATCACCAACGAATTGCTTTTGTTAGGTATATTTTTTTTCAACACAACAAAAATATATTAATAAAAATGTATATGTAACAAAGTTTAAACAAATATAGGATATGTATATCGAAATACTTTTTTGTTAACAGATTAATAAAGGTAACTCTTATGAAACGGAAAACTTGGCTCGTAGTTACAAAAATAAAAATAAGTGTAAGCCGATTTTTAGTTCCCTACAGGGTTTTAGTGCAGTTGGCTCAAAACCACAGTGGACAACAATCGCCCCAACGCAATGACGTTTTCTGCGATGGACTATTGCGTGTTTTGAACCCTAAGCTGCACATCAGTCCGATTGTTTGATTCGATCTTGGAAAGGAACATTTAAAACAGATCCAAACTCCCCTAGACATAAAAATAAAAAACAAATATATGTTAATATTATATATTATACCTATATGGTTATATGTCTGTGTACTTTATCAACTTTCGAGATGTCTTAAAATAATTAAGTGATTCCGTCGAGTATTAATTTATCACATTATATATATACAGGGTGTCCCGTGAGGATTTACTCATTAGCCGTAGAGGGGGACTCGCCGCCCAGACAAAAACCAGTTTATTGACGTTTTACTAATAAACTAAAAAAATTATTAAAAATCATGAGATTAATGAAAATAAAATGTTAAAAGCTCAAAATGTTCACAAAAATATACTCTATAGAATGGCTATCTTCAATTTTTTCAAAAATAAAAAAATAATTTTTTAACTTTTTTACTAAAAAATTTAATTTAATTAAAAATAAAATATTTGTAGTGCTTACCTCTGCGAGTCTTAATAAAAAAACATAATTACGATATCTCCATTATTGCAGGAGATATCGCAATGAGTAAATCCTCACGGGACACCCTGTATAATTGTAGGTATGCAATTATTTTTTTCTCACTCGGTAAAAGTGAGAATACTCAAAAATTTTATATAAAGACATGTTAGTGGTTTGTTGATGTATTCTTAAAAAAAATGAATGAACAATCCTAATTCTAAATTTTCGTAGTTTTCCAATGTTTTACGAAGAGTATATTAATATTTATTTAGGTATACAATTATTCGAAGTGACAGAGTTTTCTACGCATTCACAGTTCACGCATGTATAATACAAAAAAAAACATCCCAACAAGTTAACAGCATTTGCATTATTTATTTACCATATGAAATAAATTTATTTTTTATCGGCAAAGAAGTCAAAAAATAAAATAAAATGTACTACGCTACATCAAAAAGGGTATACCTAATGTAATGACTGCATATATAATTCTTATCCGACATAATTTTCCTTTATTATGATTGTGTAGTTTTATTTGCCTAATTGTAATGCAAATTTAACACGATACATGCCCTGACCAACGTATATCAAATGTAAAGTTTGAATGTGCAGAAGTACCTACGTTAATTTTTTTTTTAATGTAACTATATGCTTTAATTATTATTTTCTGGATTATGTATGTAAAAAAGATTTATTATGATTGTACCTACTTCCTCCATACATGTATTGATAAATATTATGTAAGTAGTAAGTACATGCCGATAAATTGGATGTACTTATTTCCATTAATAAAAACTTTTGATTTCATAATATTCAAACTGCATGACAATCAAAACATACTGTTTAAGTCGATCTAATTATGTGTAGATGAATTAAAACGAATCCCAAGATATATTATATTATATATGTACTTGATGTAATATTTATATTCAATCTTCTTTCATATTATACCTATTCTGATATTTGTATTTGATGGTGAGGAGTCAGGATTGTGAAAACTTTATTATTCCATTACACGAGGAACACTGTTACAATCCTTGACAAAAACACTTATAGGTATATATTTTAAAAGAAAAACCACTAAAATAGTAATAGATAAATACAAATATTAAATTCTGCAAATAAATGTGATCAATTTTGAAAAATTAGTAATAAAGTATGAAAAAAATATTTATACTGATCGTTGGTGTCAAAAATAGGATTTGA